TTTTCCTGTTCCTCTATCCCCTGTACCCCTTTTTTTTTTTCTTTTTTTCTTCTCTCTTTATTTATTCATTTATTTATTTATTTTTTCGTTTAGCCTTCTTTATTTCTTTTTCCTACTTTCTTTTCATTGCGGCTTGGTGCGCGGGGTTCTGTATACCGGGGTAAGTGGTACACAGCGTCGAGCACTGGAGTGTCTCACGGATGTCGAATCGAGATCCGAGTAATACAAAGACATTCACAATACGGTTCCAGGTACCGGGAACGCAGGTTGGTCCCGTCGAACTAGCGGACCCGCTCGGGAACGTCCACGGTATTACCAATACAAGGCCCAAGCTCCTGATGAATCCAAAGCTTGGGATTAGTAATGGCCCATTTGATAGATCGTGTTCTCCTTGCATCTGATCCGCGAATAACCCTGATCGGAAGTTCATTTAGCGCCATGCAGACTGCATATCGGTACCAGTTATCGTGTGACATTTCATTGATTCTGGCAAACTCAAGTCGACTGCTGTTCTGCACCATGTGTAGACCTACAGTATGTAAACTTCTTTCTCAGTTTCAACGGAATCACCAGTTCTTCACCGCCCCGCAGCGCGCCAACACAAGCGACCATGTTAGCTCTCGGCGTCTAGAACTCCTAAGTCCGATACGACATAGCACGGAGTGTCGTCATTCTCGGCTCTGTGTTTCATCGCACAACATGGGTCAGGACTATTCCTCTTTAGGGAAAAAGTCCATTCCCCGACAGGAAAATTACTGCGAAGGATCCCGCAGATCGGAATACCGAGTACCTCTACACAGTGGCTGACATGACATGTTTTGACAGATCCACCTTTGCCAGATACACAGATGGAATATCTTATGTCGATATTGATGTTGATGTTTCGAAAAGCAAAACAAAAGACCATGAAACCAGACAACATCAATTGTCAGAAGTCGGAACTCTCCGACATCATATGAAAATAAATGAACAAGACGAAAAGAAAACAAGAACCAAGACCTGGCAACCCCGACACAGCGGCAACCTGCACCTAGAAAACGTTGCTTAATCATGCACTTCAGACCCATTCACGCTAACTTGCCAGGGCTAACCGTCTCACTTTATCGTCTTGGCCGTTTGGGCAAATCAGCGGTTCCTCGCCCTCCACTCTCGATCACCCGAGATCGAGCAACCACCCGCACGCGAGGATTTGCCTCCATGGAGGATTTTAGTATGTGGGAGTGGGTTCTTTTCTCTTGGTATGTGCGTGGTTATGACCGGGTCCTGGGAGCCCCACAGCGCACCCGAGGGATCGCTAGTGCAGAGACGGTGATCCTGTGGCGGGGGTAAAGTCGTATTGTAGAATTTTCATTTTCCATTTAATTTCCTGAAGCAGTATCTATGTCGGACGTTGGGTTCCAAGGTTTGAGGCATTAATTGCCGCGTTGTGTTCATCCACTTGTACGGAAGGTTGTACGCGACGGATGTTACGTGTCAGGTTGCAACTTTTCCCAGGGGCGACCACGATCTCTCTCCTATATGGTCCGTTCTCACTTGCCACGACTAGAGTAGACGCTACTTCACGTGTGCGTATCAGGGATCATACCTTCGCTTATGGATTCATCTGCAAGTGCAATCTTGTTTTTGCGCTTTCCTTTTCCGATCCACCCACATCCTCTGAACGATGCAGATCACGATGACAGTCCTCGGATAGATGTCCATCGAAATTAAATCGAAATTAATCGCGTGCCAGCCCGGAAAACCGCTATACTCCGTGGTAGACATTCCCAATCTAGTAAGGATCAATGGAATAGATTAAACGTTCCAATCACCACATGCCTTGTAGCCGAGCCGATTTTTCGGACCAAACATTGGAAGTAGATCTATACCCCAACTCTCCGCCGTCGACACAAAGTTGACCGATAAATCAACCATCGACGGAGCGCAGCTCAGGCCTCTCCGGTAAACGCCAGTGTGGGGAAAGGAAGCACATCACAACCCCATTCCATTCAGCCTCAAACGGGGCCGTGTACGGTAAGAGCAAAAAGTAAGCCAAGAATCAAAACCTGACCTTCTGAGGGAATACACCACCCCTTGCAACCCCCTTGTCTATCTCGCCTTCATAAATCAAATCAGACCAAAGCAGAGAAAAGTCTCCGACTAAGGCGTGCGCAGCCATGCATCCACTTACGTAGTCGCAGGGGGGCCAGAGAAAGCCAGAGCCGCCACTTATACAGTCGCGTCCGGAAGCCGTGTCATCCGAGGTCCGCAGTATCATTTAATTTGGTTTTGGTGCTAGTTCCACAATACGGACTAGCTTCAGAACTCGCTAATCCGGCCTTATTCGCATGGATGTTTAGTGGTTTTAGTTTTGGTTTTAGTTTTAGTTCCTTCGCGTATAACCCCCCTTGTTTTTGCTTCTGGCCCCCGGTTTCCCGGCCCCGGATGACCTGTTCGGTCTAGGCTTGGCGTGGACTAGATTGATCAGCCTATAGACTCTGGACGGTTTGGTTGGCTCATTGGAGCTATCTGTACAGAGTACGGAGTACATGGAGCTTTCGTGGGGGGAGGGTTTTTTTTTCTCTTTTTCTTTTTCATCCCACGCATTCCTCTTGGCACCCCTGTTCAATAAAATGTTGTAATGGAAATGTGATCTACGCAATGTAGTCGGTGTAGTGAGCAATAGTAAATCTGCCGTTGATTAATTAAATCGAGTCCACGTAACAAGTCATCCTTTTTAGGAAATAGGAAACAGGGGTGTACCGGAAGGTCGGCATCTCCTACAAGTTGTAGATTTATCATCTCCTGCATCCAATGTTCACGTTCAGGTTTCATACTTCCAATGTCAAGCTGCGTGTGATGCATCTCTTGGATTGTATTCGGGGCGGAAAATAAACCTAAATCACACCCAATCACACCATCTCTCTCTTATATACCGAACAGAGATAATACGCAAGCATCAACCCATGTAAGAGCTAAGTCCGCCATCCATGGATAGTAAGCACAAACAACAGTCAGACAAAGGTAATGCAAGCCACCCCTTGGAAACCCAGTCTATCATCGGGATATCATCTCGAGTTCGCGTGGTATCGAATTCAAAGGCAATACGACGAACCGAAGCGATGCACCAAAGCCCCAAAACCGGATTCTTACATCCCCTCCTCGAATAACAGTACGACCAGAGTAAGCGGTGACGGCCTCGCAGCTCTTGCGGCGTATTCTCCCCAATCGTTATGCATCACGCAAACCTTGTCGTTCATTTGGTCCTGTCTCAGCGAACACAACCCTCTTTCCCCCTCCCGAGACGGTTTTTGTGTTTGTGTTGCTCGTTCTTCCACTGTGTTGGGTTCCACGGTGGGATTTTACTCGCTTCTATGATTGCCGCTGCACTTATACTTTGGACGTCTTGGGTTATCGATGTTGGGGGCGTTGTTCGTGTCTCACAAGGTTGAAAGTGCGAGGTTGGTGGCTTGTAGTTTAGATGAGGTAATATTTGCTATGTAGCATGGCTTGACATGCATTTGTAATTGTGTTCATATCCATGCTTTCACTACGACAGTGATCTCGGATCAAAAGCTCTACAGTGTCCATCTAACGTCGTATGATTTCTACTCTGTGGTATTGGGGAATGTACCGTCGATCTGGTCATCGTACGCGCAGTGGCGATCCAGTTAGAACAGAGTCTGGATTGTTCGTCATAATACTTCTAATAACTACCTTCTTCTTTCTTTTCTAGCGCTTCTAGCCTCTATCTTTTTTTTATTCCTTTTTTTTAATTCGTCGTTCTTCATCAATTAGAACCCATCCCTGTATAGCGCGTATAGTGTCCGTATGACAGTCCATTTATAGACCATCAAGCCGCTCTCCTTTGTTCGTATTCGCTCTTTGAAATCCAACAAGCCTGTCGGGATGAAATCAGCGCTTGGCGCCCTTGATGATTTTTAATGGGGGGAAATGATTAAGGCGGAAATAGGCGGAAAATAATCCAGCTCCAACTAGGTAAATTGGAACGACCAGCCGCGAGTCATGTAAACCATGCATTCTTCGATCGTCGACCTTTCGTATAGGACGATGATTAATCGGAATTAATGTTTTCTTTTTGTTTTCTTTTTTTCTTGTTTTTCTTTCGTTGGAAAAAAAAAAAAAAAAAAAAAAAAAAAACACAATGGATAGTCCATGGAGCTGGGAAGGAGGAGCTAGGGGGAGTAAGGAGTATAGACATACGGGTGGAGTCTGCCTGGGTTGGTTATCTTGGTTGATTTGATTGGTGTGTTTCCGGGCTTGGCTGCTCCACCTACGTAAGTACGTAGTGAATCGAACAATTTCCAGCTCAGCCCTGGGGTATGAAATAATTGGAGCAGCGCCAAAATTTGCGAGGCGGCCAACCGGCTCTCTCCAGTTAGAGTACATGCGCTTCTCCTTGTAGTTAGAATGGCCGCAGCGAAAATTGGTTTCCTGGTTTACGGGAGAAGCGAGAGTCGGTGATTCGGTTCCCTTATCGCGGGCCCCGGAGTACTTTAGCACGGTTTTCAAAGGAATTATTGATTATTAAACGGATTCTATTCCAAATTCACTCCAGTAGAGTTGATAAATAAGATTCTTCGTACCTCGTAGATATAACGATAGATATAGTAAAAGAGTCCAAAGTAAAACATATCTCATGCCAGGTATCAAAAAAAATCACCATCGCAGCACTTAAAAGCAGAGGATGAATGACACGAAAATAGAAATGGAAGGAGGAAAAAAACGCCAATCCTCTTCATTTGTATGAAACGGGAAAGTCGGGAATTAAAAGAAACAACATACCAGGGGGTAATCCATCAGAAGCGCCCAAAAGTAGCCCAAGTAGCCTGGTAAGCCAACCCACAGGAAACCCAAAACAAAAAGACAAGAATACAACACAAGTATGCGAAGTCACCGGGTTCTCGAGGTGAGGGGAATCGGGGATATAGAAAAGTCGTCACGGGCATCAATCGCACAGGATTCTCTCCCAAAGAAAAAACTCTACGCCGAGTTTCCTCTTAGCCTACTCCCAGAAAAGCCCAGTCAGTCCCCTCCGGTTGACTCAGAATCCGGGTAGGGTTTTTGTACGGGAAATTAGGATGGTATCCCACCATCATTGGCTGTCCCTCTGGTAGTTGATGGCCTTGGAACGGCGGCTGGTGGTATTCGGGTGGAAGATAGTTCGTGCGCGGGGTCGCATCATAGCGCTGCTGCATCATTTGAAGATACTGCTGGTGTTGCGGGTGTGGGTGCGCCTGCGGATGTGGGTGTTGTGGTGGCGCTTGCGGTGGAGCATGCGGCATGTTTATCGGGGACGTGACGGAAACATTCTGATTGACGATCGGATGCGCGCCATCGTGAACTGCATGTGGTACTGAGCCCATTTGGACGCTTGGAGGCGAGTAGAACTCGTGATTTGGCGTCGCCGAATTCGGGTAATAAGGCTGCTGAGCGAGTAGGTACTGGTCATTAGGGTTTGGGATCGAAACCGACACAGGAGGCTGGTGCTGATGATATGAATGCTCCGAGTTCGCATCTTCCGAGGATGGTCGAGTCATGGAGCCTGGAGGGTGAGAGCGGTGTTGATGTTTGGTCAGGGTGGTTTTGCGACAGAAACTATAGAAACAAGGTGAGCGTGTTGATGGGAGGTGACACGGATCTGAAAGCTCTTACCTCCGTTCGCAGGTCGGTTCCTGGCAGATATAAGGTCGCTTGCCAGTGTGGATCCTTCGATGACGAGCCAAACTCGAAGACTATTCCATAAGTTAGTCAAACGGGATACTCAGAGCTGAAGCTGGAAGTTGGGTCTGTTTACATCTGAGAAGGCTTTCTGGCAACCATCATGGTCACAAACATGCGGCTTTTCGCCTGTATGCGTTCTTGAATGCACGGTCAAGGCACTGCGCTGGATGAAGCTCTTGTTGCAATCTTTCACCGTACAATGATAAGGCCGCTCGTTGGTGTGTATGCGATAATGGCGACAGAGATCAGACTTGCGATTGAAGGACTAGAACATGTTAGTAATGGACTTTTGGCGACGATCCAACAAGTCAGGGGAATAGATAAAAAAAAAAAAAAATGAAAACAAAAAGTCCAGCTATTCATATCACATACCTTGCCACAATGCTCCCATGAGCAGTTAAAATCGCGCCCACCTGGAGCCATGTTGTCGATGATCGACTTTCACGGTTGCGGGGGTGGGAAGCGGGTCGCGGTATTAAGGTGGGATAAGGGAAGGGGAAACGGGGACAGAAGGGGAGAACGTCAGCGCATGCGACGCGCAAAGGGGAATCCGGGATAGTCCTGGTCAAGCCGGAAGAATCGAAGCCGGGATGCTAAGGCGAGCCCGGGGCATAATAGAGCTTTAATATAAAGACTCAGAATGAGGGGTGGGGCGGGGGTGGAAGAGTGGGCAAAGGGAAGTTGATAGGCGATTTCAAGGAAAAGAGGGGATCAAGGAAAGAAAAAGGGAGGGGAGACGTTCATTTACTATGAACCTTCAACGTTTGGGAGGAAGAGAAGCTGGGAAGGGAAATAACGGCGCGCGGGACCGTATAAGATGATTTTATTATTCATTTAGGCCATAGATGGTATTATTATGTTCTGATTACCGATTATTTAAAAATGGCGATTTTTGGGGAAAATTGGATTATTACATTTTATTTTACTGATTTTCCATTATTTTAATTTGGCATACAGTGTACATGTACTTCAAGGTGTACTTTGGTATCCATACAATGTAGATGTACCCCATACCCATGTATAAACACTCTGCTTTTGTTTCCATCTTGCTTATTCCATCGAGGTATTTATTTCCTCCATGGCCATGCAAGTACCAGGCACTACACTTGGAAGACCTGGAGTTTTTACCAGGTAACCTGATTACAGTATTACACCGAGCCCCGCCTGTCAAGGATTCCATTGTAAAAGGGGGTACCACCTGTCGGAACTGTGTAATATATACTAGTTAGAGTACAAGAGGGGCCAAATATTTTTAGCTGCTTCCGCTGATAGGTCCCCTGGCTCTGGCAAAGGTTAGGTTGGCAACCGAACCTAAGTACTTTGAAATTGCGATTGCCTTGGTAAAAAAAAAAAAAAAAAAAAAAAAAAAAAAAAAAAAGATTTCCCAAGGCGTAAACCCCACTGCCCCTAACACTCAACAAACCCGGTTCCAGGCCTCAAGACCCACTTCAATGGGAAACCCGGATGACAAGAGTGCTAGCCTAGTCGGGTGCGTGGGGATACGAGGTGGAGCATTACCCGTAATGTCTGTATTTCATTGAGAAATAAAGTTAGACAGCCTGAGGTTGGGGGATCTGAAACTGCGCCCCCTGATTCGTAATTCCCGACACTTTGGACGGCAATACGGAAAAAAAAGAACAAAGGCATGAAAAAAGAAAAGAATCTATGAGGAATCCCCAAAACCAAGTATAATGAGCAAGTGGGAGTGTTGGTAGTAATCCAACCCCGAGGGGAAGATCCCCATGTACGAGGTGGCCCGGTGAGCCAGAACAGGGCCTGGATCTGGGTTCCCCAGCTCTTTGTCCTATGTCAATCGATCCCTCTTACCCTCGGCCTACAGCGTTTACAGACCATCGATGTAGCTAAGACCAAATTATGTAACCCAATCCATCCAAATCTACAGCCTACATGACCCAAGACACTTGGGATGCGCCTAGAGAATTATGATATCATTGTCTCAGCATCTCGCGATTTTAGAATAAGCCACCCACCCATCAACCTCGGTGGCGCTCTGGACTATCAAAATCAAATTTAAGTCCATAACCCCTGCTCAGTAACCGCGCCCGAGCTTCTCCGTACCCAACTTTAATGACGATCGCAAAAGAAAATCAAAATTCCCGTATACCATCGAACTATGCAAATGCGGAGAGAGGGGCCTCGAAGCTCGGAGCCACATTCCCCCGTTAATATACTCCGCGTTGTACCCCGCTAGGAATGGATACCAAACGGTTGAAATTCCGGGAATATTACAGATATCATGTCCAGTGAAGATCGTCTCCAGCAAGGGATGATGGACATGACGCGGCGCGCTGGCTGCAGCTCAACACGGGAAACCTGGTTCGGGGACCGGTACCAGCTCTACTTTGGAGGTAGAAACGGTCCTGAGTCATTTAAGGTTAAAATGAGAATTGCAGCGGTGATTTTCCCCTCTGCTTAGACGCTGCGAGATAAAGTCCCCTATAATTAGTGAAGCGATCATATAGGATGATCTTCGTTGGGCCTGGTAATCCGGGGCACCAAGGCTGATACATAGAACGAAAGAACTCTAAACCAGAGCCTTGACAGCATCAATCGATCGGGCATTTTCAGAGGATAACCCTTCAGATCTGCCTAGTTTCCGGCACTAGTAGATGAGTGATTTAGTGTCTGATAGACTTTCCAAGTGCGATGTCATTTGCGAGACCCTATTTGTGGCAATCACATTATGCCTCCTTCACCGTCTCGACTAGTATACCCCCATGCTTGCGAATACTTGTTTTTTCTCTTCTATCTTTCGTTAGACACAGGTCGATCTCTTGCAAGATTTTCTTTTTCTTATCTTTGTTTTTTCCCGCGAACCTTTTCCAAGGTCAGGCAGAAATGCTCATGCAATTTCATGCAATGTTTAATCATATTTCCATTGGACTTAATTTCCTGACCGAGGTCGTGTCGGTGGCGACTCGGAAAGATGGATGTCGAATGTCGGGAAACGTGAACATTGCATATTTCACGAGACCGCGGTTGGCCTCGGTAAATCAATTTTAACGGTGTAACGGTCAACACCAACATTGTCAATCTACAAGATGTCCGGGATACTTCGGCCATATAGAAGCAGGGCTTTGTTCAACGTGGAGCTCCACCTGGCGCAATCTTATAGGGATCTAATGGATCTAGAAAGCCTAACACTGTAGTCCGCAGAAAGCGTCAGGCTACCCAAGGGGGACCGAGAGCAAACCCAAAGTCACAAATGTAATGAAGTTACTTCTCCGTGTCGGGCTAGGGCACCAAGGAGGTGTTTGGCGCTCAGGGGATCGGCAAGCCATGGATCTCTATTGATCGTTCGCGTCTTTTCTTGTCCTTCTTTTCCCTTAGCTTTGCCCCGCCGTGCCTGTGAGCGTCAAGTGGGATGTGATCTCCGTTGTGATCGTGACTGGTTTTCAGTTATCGACAATTCAATTCCCAGCCAATACCAATCGGAATAGTCTAGGCAATGCATATTGGCTATCTGCATCTGTAACAAGCATCACATTCTCGCCATCTGCCTCACTGCAAATATTGCCTCAATCGGAAAGAATCGTCCGGATAGTATCAACCTCAGCCATTCAGGTGAGCAAGTGGTTCTTGAGTTCATGTAATCCGTCCACAGGGGGGGGGGCACACCTACGTACATGCGACATGTTGCATGCTGCAAGAGTTATCTAAAAAGCCTGATGAATCCCAAAACACGCGACAAGTGGGCCTTTCCCTCCCTTTCTTTTCTTTTTCTTTTTTCTTTTTCTTGTACACATGTTAAACCCTTTCGGCTATTTTTGCTTTTTGCCCAGACTTCTGGGGGCTTTATTGGCATTCAAACTAATTACGGCCAAAAGTTCCGCCAATGATTGGCCCGAGCTTCAACATTTGATCTATCTATACGAGTTGAAGTCTATCAAATCAAGTTTGGAGGACCGCCCTGGGTTCTTCATTCGGCTACTCTTGGGACAAATTGCCCGCGTTATCATCATGCTCGGTTACTGGCGAGCCCAGGAACCGGTTCATCGGATCGGATGTGTCGGGTGAATTCTTTTATTCGCTATGGAAGTATTCTCCAGGACCCAAGATAAGAGCACCCGTTTCAATTAACCAGGCTCGGCTTCTGCGGGTATTCTATCTACCATACCGGGGGATGGTGTTCAGGTATACCCGGTGCCATCACATCGGAGACGCGTTAAAAACCCCTTTTGTGACGAAAGCTGCATGGAACTTTTGTATTGTATTTCTTTTTTAACTCTGCCATCGTCGCCACCGTTTCGAGCTTCAAGATACCCCGCATTTTAAAGGGACAAATGATGCAATGGAGCAACGTAGACGGCTCGATGGGTGAAGGTGGAGATCGAGTCCATGGCCGTGCACCATATACCCGCAATGCTTAACTTCACTGCCACGTGAAACGGTTACAGCATCATAGAATCTTCCTCTGAAGGAGAAAGTGAACCCGAAAGGCAATAAGATGAGTCAAGTGATGATTCCCAAGAACAGTTTAGATTGGACTGGATTCAACGTCTCTTCCAACCACAGTCGTCATAATTCTGAGCATCTCGTATCTGACTAGCTGGTCACATTGTACAATGCAAGCACACATGTGCAAATAGCAAGCATACCCACTGAAAATAATTTTGCCAGCCACTCAAGCGGCTCTTCTGCTGATTGCAAAGAGTCGGTCAGGAGCACAGTGTCCCATCAGAAGCGAGGCCCGAATCAGGTGCGCCGGCGCCATTTAGCGTGATACGGAAAGTCTCCGGTCAGATCAGCTTCGAGAGCTTTGGGGCTGAAATAAACAAGATGAGAAGGGAAAATCATCCAAAATTAAATAGAACGAGCAAATGAAAATGCAGAATTCCAGATATCAAACTTGATTCGAACAATGAAACGTATCTCTTCCAATCGAAATACTCCCTAAGATAGTACTTCCTATCAGCGCCAACGCTTACGCGAACAAAAAAAACACACTAAAAGAAAACAAAAAGTAGCAGGGAAGCAGAAAAGGACGCCACTGACGACCCTGAAATCCAAAATCCCCCTTTCCCCCTTGTCAAACCCCTTACTGCCGCCGAGAGCGTTTTGCCGCAACAGTCAACATCTCCGCGATCTCACCGATCATGTTTCCAGAAAACCCAAAAAAGCGGGCTAGAGGGACCTCTGATCGGCGCCAAGATTCCAATGTAAGAATCCCGATATTCCCTAATCCCGTCGATAAGGCTATTGGTAGTGGCCAGCAGGGGGAAAATACTTCCTGTGCAACCAGCATCTACCACATCGCGCCAAGAAGAAGCTGGAGGACTTGCATGTAGAAATTTGGCAAATCCTTCAGCAAGTCATGCGCCGAAGTTTGATCTCGCCTGGGGCTGAGACTCGCTTGGCCTCGGGGCTCGGCTCCCTTGCGTCCAGGGCCAGTCATCTGATTTTGCAAAATGTACAGTAATCGGAGGAATATCGACTCCGATAATGCCGGGGATTATTGTGATCTGTAAGCATCCGGTGAGCAACGGTGTGAGATACTTCTCTGAGACGCTACGGTGACGTTGTTATGGCACATTTCCCGTGGCTGCAATGTCGGCTCGGCAGTCGGGTAAGCATGCACGCCTCAGTTTCAAGTGGAATGTGGTGGCGGGGGACTGGAGACGGCATCACACCATGCCACATGCGCTGTGGGTACTTCGTGCCATTATTTGACGGGAAATGTCTCTTCTAGGTAGCATATGCGAATGTGAGACAGTACTGTATGCGCCGTTGTATGTAGAGATCAAGGGGCGGGATTGTTCGCCTTCATGTTATCTTCGGACTCTTTTGATTTTATTTCTTTATTTTTTAAACTAGAAGTAGAGTTACCTTGGATGGCGAGATGCTACTTGAGACCCTACGAGCGAAACATCCTTGATTGATAACCATGGTGCTTCCTGATATGATCAAGCCATCGGCTCATCTTGAGTGAGCAATTCCCGGGTTTATTGTGATCTCTCCCTGGCCATAGGATTCAAGCGGGATCTAGCGTGATTTCGACACGGAACGCCGGTTCCAGTGACGATGAACGGTGGCTTGCATAAGCCATTGCGCCTTCGTGTATGGTTGTCTGGAAATATTCAATCACGGCATGAATGTCTTGCATGCAAAGAGGAAAATGAAAAATGGAACATGAAATTGGAAATGGAAATGAAAAATACTGAGAATCCTTCAAGGTTAAACTGTAAGACACCGGGTTTCGAACAAATGGAAAAATGGCCAATGCAATGCATTTGTAATCTATACTTCCAAAGGGAATCTGAAATGCATGAACTATCTCCAAAGACCTTACCAACTTGTCAAGCCTCGCTCCCGATCAAATCCAGCCCTCAACTGCTGGGCAGGTTTTAACACCTTACCCTGCAAAACAGTATATCGAATGATATTCTCACATTCCTCTGGCCGGACCCGAGCGAGCCAGATACCTTGCGCAGCGCCTTCCTGTTCACCATTTTCGGCCTCCGCGCCCTCGGTCTTATACCAGCCAAAGTTTCGGCGTCGGTATACAATAACATTGGCAGAGTACTTGTGTCCACCGACATGGCTAATGAAATAGATTCCCACACCACCGGGGCGTGTATCGTCCATGTCGCGGTATAGTCCCAAGGGCCGCAAGTGTCTCTCGAATTCGCGGCGAAGCAGTGGCGCAGATTGTCCACAGCGGGCGTCACGGGTGCGCTGCGAACAAAGTAGAATAACGGCGGCGTGAGGGCACTGGTGGGAGCGAAGAGGGGTGGTAATGGATGTGTTGGAGGGGTGGGGGATGGACTCGGATGGCTGCTGTTCAGAGCTGTCGTGTTGGTCTGCAGATGCTGTGGAAACCGCACCGAGCGGTGTTGTAGTTGTTGGGGAGTTGTTCAGGAATTGTGTGATCAGATCTGGGGCCAGCTGCGGTGTGACATTTTCGACAATGGTGAAGCTGGGCAGTATGAGGACGTTTGTGGGCTGCTTTCCTTCTTCGTGCATATGGTATTCATCTGGGACGGGCATGTTGGATGCGGAGAGCTTGAGGCGCTGTAATTTAAAAAAAAGGTGAGTACTCTTGAGTATGTAAAGAAGTTTTTGGAGTGCATTCTTACACCATTGCTCGGCTCAATACCTCCCTTCTCAATTGCTTCCATGACACTGCCTGTCTCGTCTGCAACATCGCGTACCCAGTCCGACTTTCCGGTGGCCACAAGCATGTGTGTTGCCCACCCTTTCACCTGGCCGTATAGCTCGTCCTCCATGTCGACGTCGAATTTGGCGGGGTACTTGACGGTACATGTTGCGCAATCGTGCAAGCAGTCCTCGCCGTCAACAGCCGGGTCAGCCTTGGAGAACAGCTTATCTGACTCCGAGATGGTTCGGAATCCCTCAGCAGCAAGGGCATTGTCACCGACAGCATCGGTGGTAGCATCTGTCTTAGAAGAAGCGAGAGAGACGTTGGAGGAGTTGAAGAGCGAGGATGTGCCTCGGCGGAAGAGATGCATGTTGGCGGGTTATGGTGAATCCTCTCTGGTGGATATGACTTTCTAGAAGATCTAAGAGAAGCGATTGACTGGTATCAGCCTGTTCTTTTTCTCTCTTCTATGACGCGTAATCCCAAAATTGAAGTGATCTTATCAATCATTTTGCATTCCTGCCAAGAAGCTCGGCATTACTTATGCATGACTAAGCCCCCACTGTTGCCGAATGGGTATTTTAATCCGATCTATAACTAATGTACATCCTCTGATGGGTAGAAGCGAAATGAAAGTGGAGGTGGAGGTGGAGGTGGGCCTCTAATTCAAACGTCCCTACGACCAGCATAGGTGATTGTATACGGCAAATTGCCCCGATCCTGTGGCTGCGACAGCCGAATCACACTTCCTCCAGAACTACCGGATTGGCCGGAGGGCAAACGTCGCAGTGATCGAGTCGACGGGGTGCGGAGTCCCCGCCCCAGATAAGACCCGCTCTCCTGTGACATGCCCGAGAATGGACTCTGCACCCCTGGCGCAGTATCGTATCCCGATTGGGTCTCCCAGGTCGATGTATTAGACGGCCGAAGGCTGTTGGTCCGTATTGATGTGAATGTACCGTCGTAACCGTAATGGTCCACAGTATCCGTCTCCCCCTCCTCATCCGATGGCCCGATGATGGACTCGCTATCTGCACGGCGATAGCTCGCGCTGTCGCGTATGTCCTCCACGATAGGAGATGCAAGGGACGTCATGCCTCTGAGGATCTCCGCAAACAAGTGCATCAAGTCGCGAAACTCGGACTCGTGGAGCTGGTGGGACGAAAAACGGGCCCGTTCGTAGAGCGCAAGAAATTCCGGGCCGAGTTCTGGTGGTTCAATAGCTCCCAAGGACGTGAGATGGCGGATATATTGACGTAGTCCCATGGATGCTGGTCGCCGGAGCACTTCCACTACACGCATATCTGGTAAATATTGGGGGTCCAGGTCGTCGACTGGGCCAAAGGCATCCGATGCAGCAAAGAGAGGATCGGAAGGTGCCAGTGATACTGCTTTTGCCTCGATCAGGTTGGGCAATTCCTGAATAACTGTTCGGTATGGCAAATCTGGCAGATCGGGTGAAGCTGGCGAAGACCAGCCGGGGTGCTCCACGCGACCCCATGGCGGCCGTTCGGGGTCGATCAAAAGAGGTTCGTAGTTCTGAAAGCTCTCCGCTTCTCCTGAGGTATCTCGCGGTCGAGCTTGGTATGAGACAACTGCACTACGAGCAAGTCCCTCTTTCACCATACGGCGGACGCTCTTGCTGACGTCGTCCTTCTCCACGGGGATCCATGCTTTCGGGATACCAGCTAAGGTACTCCTGTTGGTGTATATTCGAGTCGAGTAGATAAGGACGGCCAGGATAAATGTAATGACATAGGCGCCGGTTATGAAGAAGATATCAGTGAGTTGTTGGGTCTCATAGCATTGGTAGATGGCGTCGACCGGGGTGAGGAGTATCAGACAGAAAAGAATGAGGGCGAAAAAGAAGAAGAAGCTTGTGTTGAGAATGCGCTCCAGTTTCGGGGTCATGGCTAACTGCGCATTTTGTGCGCAGTGCACGGCATTTGGTGGCAAGATGAGCTGGTCGTAGCTTAACTGGATTGAATCGCGTCTTGATTATCGGATTAATGGACATCACGTGCATCAAGTCGTATCACAACATTAAACAAATGATGCGACATTTACTTCCAGTGGAATTTTTTATTAAAGAGCTTTCTCTAGTTGATTGAAAATCGAAAGTTTCCAGCCCACCAATAGCTACCGTTCTTGAACTGGTTCGCATTGATCTAATTGCGCGTAGATATATGAGTTCAATCACATGACACTGTTCTGCCGCGAACCATCGCGTCTATCTCGAATCCACCAAATCTATACAATCCCGGCAAAAAAGGAAAAGAATGAGTGAGACCAAGGCCTCCCATAGCCCGGAAGACACCTATGTCCTGGTAACAGGCGCAAACAGGTACAATTGACCCCCAAAAACCCTACAAACCTATTCCACCACAATCCTTTTAAATGACAAAAAAAAAAAAAGGGACAATCGACTAACTATACCTTTCTTGTCAGTGGCCTAGGGTACTCGATTTGCCGTCGCCTCGCCAATGAGTTCCTTAAAACTCGTCCACAATCTTCATGCCTAAACATCATCTTCACAACCCGCAGCGCTCGCAAAGCACAAGACACAACCCGCCGCCTCGAAGCCGATCTCCGCAAAATTGCCCCATCCCCCGCGGACTTTTCGCGCGTACGCTTCCTCCCCGAGAGTGTCGATCTGGGCTCCCTTGTTTCCGTCCGCGCCTGCTCCCGCAGACTCAATTCCACCTTCCCTAAACTCGATGCCATCATCCTGAACGCTGGAATTGGCGGTTGGTCCGGTATCGACTGGCTCGCCGCGGTTTGGGGTGTCTGCACCGACCTCCTATACCAAGTGACATGGCCCACCTATAAGGTCGCGCCCGTGGGCGTGTTGACGGAAAAACAGATATCGAGCAAGGAGCCTCAGGAACCCGCGCTGGGCTCGGTGTTCTGCGCCAATGTCTTTGGGCATTACATGCTTGCGCATAATGTGGCGCCGCTGCTGAAGCGCGCAAAGGCGCCAGACGGGCCTGGGCGTGTGATTTGGGTGAGTAGCATTGAGGGGACGGTGAAGTTCTTTGATATGCAGGATATTCAGGGATTGCGCAACACAACACCTTATGAGTCGTCTAAGGCGCTTACGGATGTATTGGCTTTGACTTCTGATTTGCCTAGTACGGCACCGTGGGCGGTGGATAGTTACTTTGGCTCTGATGATGCCGACAAAGAAAAGTCCGGTATGCCTACGATACATGTCGCTCACCCTGGTATCTGTGCTACAGCTATTGTCCCGCTTCCCCTGCCCCTTATCTGGGCCATGGTGATCACGTTTTGGGTGGCGCGCATGCTGGGATCTCCTTGGCACACCATGTCTACCTACCTTGGCGCCAACTCTCCTGTTTTCCTTGCTCTGTCGTCTAAAGCTGAGCTTGATGCTGCCGAGGAACCGTACCGCCGGGCTGGTGGTGGAAAACCGAAATGGGGCTCTTCTGCCTCGAGATGTGGAGCTGGAAATGTAATCTGCACAGAAACCGATGGCTGGGGATATGGTGGAGTTGTTGGAGCTCCTGTTGTTGAGGCTGATCGACAAAGACTCAGAAAGCGAGGCGCTGTCGATCTTACTGCGGAGCAGAGAGAGAAATTTGAGCAGCTGGGGCGTCAGTGCTGGAAGGAGATGGAGGAGTTGAGGATCAAGTGGGATGCGATCTTGGATGAGGCTGAGAAGACGCAGAATGATCAGTGAGCAAGAGGACATACACTGTTACTTTATTACCTCTGATGTTCATCTGTCTTGTATACTTCTTTGTGCATTCAGTCCGTGGTACTTCAAATGAGGGTTCCTAAGGGCCGGCATAATGTGTTAATATCTAATCTCATATACGTCAATCTCTATAGATAGCTTCAAATGTTAAATAAAAATGATATGGAAATGTGGTACTTCCCAGGCTGGCGATTTTATACTCTTAGTACCACCCAGAGCGAATACATCCTAAAATATAGCTATGAGGCCTTGAAGGGAGAGAACTTCCTTCGGTTTCGCACAGGTTTACTAAAGTCAATTGAATTGCATCTTTGTAATTCCGCCTCCCATTATTTACATCAACTGTACCCGCCCCACGCCCATGATATCATTAAAACAGATATTGCATGATTTATTTGCCCGCAAAATCAAAATGGCAGAAGCGCAAAGAGAGCAAGACTGCAATTGTAGACTTTTAATGCCCACAAACATCACAAAAAAAAACAAGAGAAGAGACTAAAAAGTGGTAATTGTTGCAAAAAGGGCCGCTGGTCGTGTATTATCCAGCCATCTAGGTTTGGAATACATCGAATCTCGGGACGAAGGGTAAGAAAGCAGCGCGAGCACATAGCGGGGCGGTGGCACCGTCGTGGGTGACAGGCAAGAAAACTGGGACCGAAGGGGATCAAGACAAGAGAAGAGAAGATCACGAAGAAAACGACTCCGGTTCCATGCATCAAGACGGTGAGGAAAGGTATCGGGGAGAGAAAAGGTGAAAAAAGGACGTATCGACATGAGGAAGGAGGATTACATGATAATGGCGGGAACTAATACGCAGATGTTAGCTTTGAACCTAATCTCAATTGATTCGGGATAGCAAACGTACCATCAATGTTTTGCTTGATGCTCTTGTGGGGGAGAATAGAGCCACCGTTGACATACACCTCATCGGCGATGCTGACGTCGTCTCCCAGAACTGTTACGTTCTCCAGGCGAGCCCAGCGGCCAACGGAGCTGTTCCACCCAACAATGGTGGATTTGATCCAAGCGTGGTCCTTGACCTTGCTGTTCTCCATCACAACGCAACGTTGCAGACGGACACCATCGCCAATGACAACGTTGGGGCCAATCACTACGTTAGGTCCAATGCGGCAGTTGTTTCCAATCTTTGCGGAAGGGTCAACCATGACATTGCCGCCGTGCACATATGGCTCGGAGGTGGAGACCAGCTTCTTGGGGTCGCGCTTAGACAGGGAGGAGAGGTACAGACAGGTACCAGTGAGGAAGTCCTTAGGCTGACCAACATCCATCCAGAAGCTCTCGAGATCAAAGGAGTGGAGCAAACCATCCTTGACGATGGCAGGGAAGGTCTCTTGCTCGATGGAGGTGGGGCGCAGCTCAATGCGCTTGAGAACGCTGGGGTTCAGAATGTAGATACCGGCGTTGATACGATTACCGACGAACTCGACGGGCTTCTCGACGAAACGATCAATGCGCGAAGGGTGATTAGGCTTGTGAACCACGACACCGTACTTGGAAGGCTCATCAACCTTGGTGACAACAATGGTACCTTCGTCACCGTGTTTCTTGTGGAACTCTGCGAGCTCTCTGAAGGGGTAGTCACAGATAACATCTGAGTTCAGCACGAAGAAAGGCGAGTCATCCTTGCCCAGAATACTCTCCGCCAGCTTGAGCGGGCCAGCCGTGCCCAGTGGCTCGGTCTCGACGGAGAATTCGATGTTGACACCGTATTGCTCCTCGTACTTCTTCAGGGCGGCGACCATAACATCGGGGCGGTAGTTCACGGCCAAGACAATATCGGTAACACCTGCAGCAGCCAAGCTCTCGACCTGGTGCAAGATCATGGGCCGGTTGCCGAACTCGACCAGCGGCTTCGGGAGGGTAAGAGTCTAGGCGGAAGCAAACAAATTAGCCAATGTGTCGAGGGCACAGTCCCACCAATCCTCTCCTCGTAGAGCATTGGGTTGAATCAATTGCATGGTGGGACGATTGACGACTACTTACCAAAGGACGCAGACGGGTGCCGAAGCCTCCGACAAGAATGAGAGCTGCGGGCGAATTAGTGACGGGATGAGGGGTGGTATGGAGGGGCATAACATACCCTTCATTGTGGGGTAAGTAGTTAAGGTGAAAACACGATTAGATCAAAGAAGAAGCCGTTGATATTCAATCAACAGCAAAAACAAGCCAAGAGGGTTTAACACGAAGGGGAGAAGGACATTATTTAGGGAACACCTGGCCGTTGATGGATTTATTTTTATTAGGAGGGAGGGGTGGGGCACGTGAGAGGACGTGATTGGATGACTACACGTTTGCAGTGAAAAAGGGGGTGGACCCTCTTATATCTGTTACCATCTGGGACCTCAGAATACTTCTATTTCCGGCTATCTGATTCATTCTTTGCAACTGTACTCGTCTATTCCGAACTCTGCTCTATGTGCTCTATGGATGCAATTGTTGTAGTGTGAGAAGACCAGAGTATGCCGTACTGCTACAATGAATCCGCCCCCGGGTGGTACTAGTACCCTGGGTCCAGCCCATCGACGCCGACGCCGAGCGGCGCAGTCCAAAGCCGCCTTTTAACTGGATCGGGGCTTGTTGAATAGCTGCCCCGCCAACCTTACCCGGTCAGGCGATGTCGCCCCTGGGATAAAAGTCTCATAAGGGCGTTCGAGATCAATGGTCGGTTGCGGTCATGAGCCGCGCGGAGGTCGATCTCCTCATCCGTCACACCACGACCCCCCTCCTTCATCCCACAACTGCCCCTTTTTTCAATAATCAAGTTTATGAGTTGTAGGTATGTATTCAAAGCTCCGACTAAATTTCAGCTGATGTGTCAAATTTTCTTTTTTCGATGATATCATATGTACATTGTGTAGGTTCTTTTCATCCAGAATATTTAGGGACTAGACGATAGAAGATATGTGGTCATAAACAACTAAAAACCAGGCTAATATTTTGAGTCTACTGCGTGTCCGGGGGAAGCCGGCCACGTTCTGTCTTGGGCATTCCTGGGCTAGTACCGCCTACTCCATCCGTCCCCACAAATCGGAGGATCCATTCCCGTACCTTGCGAACCTTCTGCGGCAGATCGCCCTGGACATTCATTGGAACCTTGTCGAGCTCACCCGCATCCGTCGATGGTTGGTGCAAAAGGTCAACTTGGGTCATTCCTCCACGAAGACTCTGTCCGTAGACCTGGTCCCGGAACGAGCCAAGGCCCACGGTACGCAAAAGAACAATGTCTTGAGGTCGAATTCGGGCCAGGGACCGGGCGAGCTCATTCGTTTTCTCGGCCTTGGCTGCCGTCTGAACGGCTGGTGCTGAAGTTGGCAGCCAGAAATTGACGCCAAACCCAGCCCTTGTCTCGTCACCCACCACTAGTTCAATGATATCAAGTTCTTTCTTCCACTGCCGTGTTACCACGCGGCGGGGTGGATGCACTGCAATAATCCCGACCACTAAATTGACTGATAATGTCTGTGGGACAATGGTCTGCAGGTCTTTTGCCGAGGGGATATCCTTCAAATCTCTCAAGGGGCCATTGATTCGAAAGGGTGGTAATTTAGATATCTCTTTGCTTGGTGAATCAGCAGCCTCGATGCTGTCCAACTCCTGTGTCAGGTCCTCTCGTGACTCTGACGCAGAATTCCCTGAGTTCTCGTGAATGGCGAATGAATGGTCGTAGAACTGAGACAAAGCCGTATCATCGTCATCGCTTGTTATGCTGTCAGCATTGATGAGCTGATGGGATGTCAGGAAGTTTGGGTCCCTGGGTCCCCAGTAAAAGGCATGGTGATCATCCACAGTGTCTGATGATAGAGGCTGAAGTACCCTCCATTTGATAGAGTCTTGTGCCAAAGATGCCTGGTGTTCTGTTCTGGTGGTGCTGGTGCTGGTATCGGCATCATGGAATGGGGGCACGGGGGCGTTTAAAAGCTCGTCTTGAGCCCAGTTCAAACTGCCAGGCAGGGGGGCACCCACTAAGAAAATCAATCTGGGGGCCATACTGATCTGGTTGGCAGCTTTAGCAGCCTACTCGTATCCCCAGGCCTGAGGTTCAGCTTCGCTGATGTAGTGGATGCCAGTAATGTCCCATGCTTTCTAATAGTCGTTGTTCCCGAGCTTATCACAATGACCTGGTTGGCATCAAAACAGAAAGTGGCGGGAGCCGTTGTTGGTGGCCAATGGTCTAATTTCTAGCTACCATAGCCTTGTCTTCAGAGTGTGGGAGTTTCAAAAACCAAAGTCGGTCCAGTCCGGACCATAGTTAAGTAGTTAAGTTAGTAAGTCGAGGCCTTTGATTATCTCATCATTTTGGCGGGCTGTCATAGTAACTTTAATCTGGCAGCTTTGATTGCGATCGTTGTCAGGAAAACCTTAAGTGCTAGAACTTAAATCTCATTTCATAATAAAAAGCTTCTCGAGATTCAACTTCAGTGCATCACAGCATTAGGTGGCGGTACATCAAGCATGTAAGTGTCCTATCCCTTCTTTCCACATATCGACTTTTCATCGGGCTCCATCTCTTCATCTCCATCGCTCTCAATACCAATAAGATGTTCCCATGACACCAGAGTACAATTCACAGCTATAAGAAAACCAGGTAGGTATCGGAAGATGAAGGGAACCAACCCATAGTTCATTGTTAAATTGGAAACAGGCATCGCAGTAGGGAAACACAAGAACACTTTCAGGTACACCCACCAATAGAAGGCACAAATGTTAATTATGCGCGCCCACCGGCCCAGGCCAAACGGTCCTCGTTTCATTTAGTTGCTGTCAGTTCCTCAAATAAGATCCAGAATGATTGTCGGGCCATAAAGGAAAACTATGACGATGCTTACACCAGAGCTGGTTTCATAGAAGATAATGTATTTTCCGATACAGATGAGCGAGAGAGCTGAAACAGTGAATCTTATCAGCAAAGTCGCGCTCACTGGTACTTTCCAGCGCGAGTGAATCTGCGTAACAGCGGAGGCTATACCTCACTTACAAGCGAAGGGTGCGAGAAGTCCGCTCTGAGTCTGATTATATTTCCAGGCAGTGGTAGACGGTTGAGTAAATTAGCATGATAGAAACCGTCACACCCATTCCACTCCACTACTGAATTTTGATCTGCAAATAACAGCAGAGGAATCTCCGTATTCATTTCTAAACTCAAGTATCATTATTATATGATGAAAACTGGGGTCAACCCAGAATTCTTTGGAATGTGTAAGTTATGCAGGTTTCAAGATACCTCGTGTGTGGAGCAATATCAAAACACTCTGCTGCGCAGGGCGATGATATTTGAATATTAAGGCTTGATGTATCCTTTGATCTCGAAAACATACTGTACCTATTGGAACATATCTTACCATGTTGTATTAGGTAGGTATTTGTCCTTGTTGTGTTACGTCTTTCACATCAAGAGCCCTTCCGAGGCTCGATCTAACTTATGCGGTCTAGACTAACTATGTGTCCGATACATATATGTTTGCACCTCGCAATGTCAATTTGGCGTTGGAACTGTCTAGCTGGAACATAACTTCCCATGTAGATAGCTAGCTCTCAAGCTATCAGCAAGCCAATTAGTTTAGCCAGACCAGAAATATAAGCGCCTCAAAAACTCCGTAGACCACATAGCTATGCATCGCGTTAGTATCACGATACAGTATCATTTACTGCTAGCAGAATATGAGGTGCCTGAACCGCTGAAGGCGGTGTGATCGAATGGCTGAGGCACGTGATGATACGGGAAACTGTCCGAGCCTAAGTGGCAACCGACTTTCGCCGCATCTCAGCGGAGTCCAAACCCACGTCACCGTTGTCCATTATCTGCTACTGTCAGCTATGGCACTTTCTGCTATTAGCCATTGAATATATTCATCTGGCAACATACTTACATTAGAGGAGAATCTTTTCGCCTCCCACGCGGCCGAGCGCCGCTTTACATCGGACAACCATGGCCTTTCAAGTCACCATCCCGCGGCCGGTGAGGACTAGCTTTCTTGACTCTGAATTTATCCAGGACTACCGCTGACCATTTCCATGAATGAAACAGAATATCGCAGCTGTGACGACCGAAATCTGGCCATCGATGTCTAACATGCTAGCTACTCCCTGGAAGCAGGTAGGACGGACTCCGGTAGTCAGTGCCCACGAGACCATCCAAAGAATTCCTTCTCAGCAACGGAATGCGGCGGTAAGGATCTCTAGAAAGTAAATCAGATTATCTGGTACTAATCTCGAGACCCGATAAAGCAGACAAATGAGCACCTCTCGTTGCCGGACTTTTTGAACTCTGTCTCCTTGAGTGGGTTAAAGGCAGACATGGTCAGCCAGTCTACCCGGCGCAGCTTGTCTCCGCTCTTAAGTGGAGGTATGTGGTATCTTCCTATGCTCCGTTTTTGACTTGTACTAATGGATGGCTGGCATAGGAAATCCCGTTTGGAACTCAAGTACTTCGGCCCGTGGTCTTACTTCTCCGACAACTCGATCCTTTTCAACCTTGACGCCCTTCCGCCTTCACACCCTTCGTGGGGCTCCCAAGATAAATGGACTCTCTAAGTTTCAACAGCAACGGTTCTTGTTCGGAGGTTCCTCGCAGACCATCCTGGCTCAGAAGGAGAAGACTGCGAACAATAACCCGAATAGCGCAAATGCCCAAAATGCATTCTACCAGGCCCTTTTACGTGCGAACATGTCAGCGATTGTCGTGGAACGATTCCGGAGTGCTCAATTTGCGAGCAACGCGACAACTGAAGCGATTTACAACAAGGCACTTGAGCGGGTCGGTGGTGATTCGACTCTTGCTGGACATACTGGACAGAACCAAGGCCTCTCTTCCGAGCAGCTCCAGGCTGTTGGACAAGCGGTCGCTGCGCGCAGTGGCGGCGGTCAGATCGGTGTTGCGAACAGAGGCACTGGTGCTAAAGAAGCCCCTTTGTACGTCGTGGTCGACGAGTCCATGGGTAGCGCAGTGTTTCGCTGGGTCAAATTCTTCTTGTTCTTTGGATTCTTCACCTATGTCTCTCTGGTCCTGATCACTATCCTGATCGAGACCACCGGTGTATTGAAGAACATTCGGGGCTCGCAAAATAACGAAGCGCAACCTTCGCAGCAGACTGTTCGGTTCAGCGATGTTCATGGTTGTGATGAGGCAAAGGATGAGCTTCAGGAGCTTGTGGAGTTCCTGCTCAACCCTGATCGTTTCTCTTCGCTGGGCGGTAAACTTCCCAAGGGCGTTCTTCTGGTTGGTCCTCCTGGTACCGGTAAAACTCTGCTTGCCCGTGCGGTGGCCGGAGAAGCTGGTGTCCCGTTTTTCTACATGTCCGGATCCGAATTCGATGAGGTCTATGTAGGTGTGGGTGCCAAGCGTGTCCGTGATCTCTTCAGTCAGGCCCGCGGTAAATCTCCGGCAATCATCTTCATTGACGAGCTGGACGCGATTGGCGCAAAGAGAAACGAACGCGATGCTGCCTATGTTAAGCAAACCTTGAACCAATTGCTCACTGAGCTTGATGGTTTCTCCCAGACTAGCGGCGTTATCATCATTGGTGCTACCAACTACCCTCAATTGCTTGACAAGGCACTGACTCGCCCGGGTCGTTTCGACCGCAAAGTGGTGGTTGGCCTCCCTGACGTCCGTGGGCGTATGGATATCCTGCGACACCACATGAAAGATGTCCAGATCAGCACCGATGTCGATACTGCTGTGATCGCCCGTGGTACTCCTGGTTTCTCAGGCGCTGACCTCGAGAACCTGGTCAATCAGGCTGCCATTCATGCCAGCCGTGATCGTAAGACCAAGGTCGGTCCTATGGACTTTGACTGGGCTAAGGACAAGATCATGATGGGTGCCGAGGCCCGGAGCCGTATCATCCAGGATAAGGACAAGCTTCTGACAGCCTACCACGAGGCTGGCCACGCTCTAGTTGCCTACTTCTCGTCTTCCGCTACCCCACTCTACAAGATCACCATTGTTCCTCGCGGCATGGCTTTGGGTATCACCCATTTCTTGCCAGAAATGGACACCGTCTCGAGAAACTATACGGAGTATCTGTCTGACATTGCTGTTGCCATGGGTGGTAAGGCTGCTGAGGAATTGATCTTCGGCGCCGACAACGTTACCAGTGGTATTTCTGCCGTAAGTTATAGTTCCCCATTTTGCAGCACAAATACTTTTCTTTCAATTTTACTTACACTTCTTTCAGGACATTCAACAAGCGACTGAAACGGCGTTTACGCTGATCACCCGCTTCGGCTACTCCAAGAAGCTAGGCAACGTCGATCTGTCGACCAATTACGACAGTCTCTCATCTGAGACGAAGCAAGAGATCGAGGGCGAAGTGCGCCGCCTCGTCGAGGAAGCCCGTGCCCGTGCCGAGAAGATCCTCACCGATAAGCGAAACGAACTCGAGCTGCTCACCAAGGCTCTGATCGAGTACGAGACGCTCACTAAGGAAGAAATGGAGAAAGTGCTCCGAGGCGAGAAGCTTGATAAGCTCAGCTCATCGCCCAGTGCACCACTCAAACTGCCCGAAGCTTTACAGGCGGCCAATCTCAACCCGTCGACTGCGGCGGGTAGTCCCCCCACCGCAACAGAGTGAGAGGTATGACCTGATCTAGTCTATCTCACTTCTCCTTGTCTCTTTTATCATTTGTGTTCCCTTATCTCTATTGTTTGAGTTCCGTCTTCGTGCATTCCCGGATCGTTCGGGCGTCTCTACCGAAAATACCATTTTCCTTACCTCTTCAACCCCTCTCCCTCTGGCTCCCTCGTCCTATTGAAAATCAATCTGGTCGCTACTGTACTTGTATATACAACATCCTGTGTGTCTTGAAATGTATCTTGTATCTCAAATCGAATTGCGAAGCGTGATTACTATCTCTAGGTAGCTTTCTGCAGTGAACCTGAATCTTGATCATACATATTCGCAGCTGGCGTAGACCTTAAGTGACAAGGGGAATGCCAAGTCAGGGCAAGTTGAGATAAGATACCCTACAATCCACTAAGGGCATTGACCTACGTACTCCGTAGATGATGTCTCAATCCTGATTAATCCTGATTGCCTGAAACTCGGGCACGGTCCGCCCGCTCCACTTAGACCAAACTCAAGACCCCGTGACATCATACCCTTAATCAGGAACATCCGTGCCTGGTTCATCGACATTGACGTTATCATCTACGAACGGGTGGGTCCGGTGTATGAAATTGTTGGAATAGCATCATCGTGATGTGCGTTTCGCTTGCCTTGTTCTTGCTTGCTTCGGATCGACTTGGTGCCAAGGTACTGTACTCAGTGATGAAGCCATGTAACCAGGCATCAATAATATCCACAGGAACCTAGTTCCAGTCCAGATTGAAGATGAAGAGATGCAAATGCTTTAGAAATTTTTTGTTTTCATATTGTTTTTCAGAATTCCTGGTATATACAAAAAACAAATGCAACGGTCGATCCGGTTCGAATCGACGCTCAACCGCCAAAGATAGCCAGAACATAGAAATCGAAGCCAGTTGTGCCCTGCACGAAAAGTAGCTGGGACATGTGAAAGGAATTGAGAACCGGAAAAAAAAAACAAATTCAAGATGTAACACAACCATCATCAAGGTCATGAAGGCGGGCATGGCTTGCGAGCACACCTATTAGGGCGGGGTTATCTAATTGAAGCAGGAACCTCTAAATGTATAATGGAAAGTCCGCAAGTGTTCCAGTGCGCCCTGAGGAGAAGAGTACGCAACGGGCATCGGAGGGAGATCAGAAGGTGAGGGAGGTTAGTGATAATGGTTGTGGTTGTGGTTGTGCGTGGCAATCTCTCCCTCTTTTCCCCGATGGCGTGGATAATTGCGTATGGTGATGTGCTGCAAGGCCCGTATGAAAGTAATATTGTCGTCGGCTAGGGCCCGATGAATTGAGGCGGACCGACTCGCAGTCAAGCCTGGTTGAAGATTGAAAAATTGTATGATGGAAAAAAAGGCAGCTTATTCGTCGTCGTCATCGTCATCGTCATCCACCTTGGGGTCCATCCAGCCTCGGGACATCTCCACAGCCTTAGACCACCGTTTGTACATCTTCCCACTGTCCTTTTTAGAAATCTGGGGTTCGAAGGTGGCACGGTTGGCACGGTTCATATGCTTGAGGTCGGTGAAGTCCTTCCACACATCGATGGCGAAGGCAGCGGCGATTGCGGCACCGAGGGCGGTAGTTTCGTGCATTGCAGGTCGCTCGACAGGAATTTGGATAATATCGGCTTGGGTCTGGAGAAGAGGAAAGGTCAGCATATGAATGCTCGGTATCGATATTGGAGTAAAGGAAACTTACCTGCATGCAAATGTCGGAATTACTCATGCCACCATCCACAGCCAATTCTGTCAGCTTCTTGCCACTATCCATCTCCATAGCGTCCAAAATGGCCTTGGTTTGGAAGCATGCAGCCTCCATAGTTGCGCGAGCAATGTGTCCTCGCTGAGTGTGGTGAGTAATACCGACTGTTGGTCATTGTTAGTTTCCTCTTCCAGTTCGAATGAAAAGGACAAATACATACAGATAGTTCCCTTAGCGTCATCGATCCAATAAGGTGCGAAGAGACCACTGAATGCAGTGACGAACACGCAACCTCCACTGTCCGGGACAGTCGCAGCCAAATCACTGACCTTGCGAGAATCGCGGAAGAAGCCCATATTATTCATAAGGAATGACACACCACTGCCAGCCACCGCCACACTGCCTTCCAATGCATATACGGGCTTGCGATCCCGGCCCAATTGAAAACCGACCGTACCAAGTAGACCGTGTTTCGAGATCACAGGCTTTTCGCCCACGTTATAAAGAAGGAAGCATCCGGTACCATAAGTGTTTTTGGCGGATCCGGGGGTGAAGGCACAGTGACCAACTAAGGCCGCGGCCTGGTCACCCAGACAACTAGTGATTGGGACACCTTCCAGAGGACCCTCGCAGATCTCTCCAAAGCCCTCGCGATCGGCCGAGGGGAAAATCTCAGGGAGGCGAATTTTCTTGGGATCGATGTCGAAGAATTTCAAAAGCCGATCGTCGTATTGGAGGGTTTCGAGGTTCATGAACATGGTACGTGAAGCGTTGGTTACATCGGTGACCAGACGCTTGTTTTGAGGACCTCCATTGAGGTTGTAGATAAGCCAACTGTCGACGGTACCGAAGGCAGCACGGCCCTCATCGTAAGCCGAGCGGACATCGGGTAGGTTGTCGAGCATCCATCGCAAGGTAACCGATGAGGGGTATGTGGAGAGGGGTAGACCGCAAATATTCACCAGTTCATCGGCACCCGGCTTGGCCTTGAGCTCACGGACCAAGTTCATGGTCCGGGTATCAGTCCAAGTAATGGCATTGTGCAGGGGCTCCCCGGTCTCCCAGTCCCAGACAAGGGCGGTTTCTCGTTGACTAGTGATTCCCACCGCTTCAATGTCGGACCGCGAGTGACCGAGTGCAAGGAATGACTTCATAGCCTCTTCAATGCAAATAAAGACAGACTCCACCAATTCGTAAGGGTCCTGCTCGTGCCATCTGGAAAAGAGGGGCAAACAACGTTAATGGGGGAGTTGCCGGGGGCGGGGAACACGAAGGTCTAACAACCTACCCTGGATGTTCGTGGAGTTGACGGAACTCCGTTTGGTATTTGGCGATGGGAACGCCTGTGCAGTCAAAGATAATGAAACGGGTGCTGGTGGTGCCCTGATCGATAGTGCCGATAAAGCGCTCCTTCAGGTCGTCCGCATGTCGGTCCTCATCTTGCAAGAGTGCCCGGTCCCCGTCATCGGTTTGGTGGGGTCTGACGGGGAGGTCAAACTGCTCATCGTGACCGGGTTCTGAGTCGCCGTCGATGCTTTCGTTGTCGAGATCAAATGGGTTCCGCATCTTCTCTGTGGTGTGTGGTATATGGGTTGTGGCGGAATGGCGGGATTCGTGTAGGAGGTAAAGGGCAGAAAAATGTGGGAGAAGAATCAAGAATTACGCCTAGAGAAATCTACAGTGGCGGCAATGAGATTGTCGCGGGGGGGGAAAGTAGGGAGCTCCTACGGAAAAGTGGAGCCTGACGTACGAGGGGGCAAAGTGAGAGAAAAGGGAACTTGAAGTATGAAAAGCGACTCGCAACTCTTTTTATCCAGGCAAGTGGGACCAAGGGGAGTGGGGGAGAGGGGTGTGGACCTGCTCTTGCTTCTCCCCAAATCCGGTTCACGGAGTTTTTTTTTGGTGGTTTTTTTTCTTTTCTTTTTTTTTTCTTGATCAGAAGACCTCGTCACCTCCCCCACTCTGGGGCTATGTATATACTGGAGAATAACGTTGAAGTTAGGGTCTACCAACCTATACTGAACTTTGTAACCCTAAGTTTCTCTGGAAGAACTTACTCTTTTTTCACCACACACGAAGGTCATAGCGATGAGAACATCTCTAGAGAATTGATTCATGTCTGTATTCTAGACTAGTATCCTAGGGACCATCAATTGAGCCCCGTCGATCGGCCACATGACACTCCATTTTTTCTCTGCGGGTTCTAGACCCCCCTTTTTAACCCACTGCCACTTTCTTTCCTTTTGGCTGGCTATCGTGCAATTTACATACTTTCCCCATTTCCCTGCCCTCCTATTCATGGATTAATGCCGGAAGATTATCTGTTGGTAGACACATTCCTGGAGAAGCCACTAGTCGCAGCCAAGAACAATCGCCCATTCTCCCCTGCCGTACCCCTGGATGAACCGGTGTCCACTTTATTATCTTATTGTAGTATAATTTTTTTTCCCATCTCTTCGATAGGGAGATCACATCATGTATGAAGGCCAAGACATCACTTACTAATTTCCATCCCTGCAGTCTGGGCAAACCCCAGAATCCCACAAGACATGGCCCAATCACATCGTCGCAATTCACGGGTGATGACGTCTGGGATTCATCGAAGAACGGGTTTGGGGCCCTGGAGAACAAGAATACCTTGCCCGATTGCTGGCCGAGATGCCAGCCTATGAGAGGCCGGCATGACACGCGGGGGGAGGGAGACAGATAAAAGGAAAAGGAAAGCCCTAGCACGTCTGGTTAGGTCTTAGTCCAACCTGACTATGGAATAACTAAGGCCATGGGGAACGAGGATCGCGCCCGTGTCCTGCCAGGGACAGGGACGTGCACAGTCTAGTAGATCACGCGAGGAGCCAAAAAATCACTAATTGATGATTTTATTTTTGGCCAACTTGGACGATCCTACGGGAATCTGGCGTTCCCGCTCTCTAGTTATCGCAACCGGGGTTATGTTCCAGCCACGATGCAGCTCGGCTCGCCAGACCTTCCTGTTTGCCCTCTGGTCCACTCAAACCATGGGACCTTTAAACGCTTGGGACAAAAGTACCCATCGCAAACAGGCCCCTATAAAATCGAGTAATCCTGGCTATGGAACTACTAGTCAAGATATTGATACCTACACAGCTACTCAGGCATTGCCCAGAAATTCTGAGTTCAATAAAACACATATAGGTCAGGATGATTACCTCCTAATAAAGTACTTCGTACTGCAGAAAGAAAATAAACCGATTGCAACCTGGCTACGGCCTACCTGCTTTCAAGGAAACTCGGCTTTAGCCCAATCATCGGGACCGGACGCGGCAACGCGGACCTCTTGGTCGCCGAACGGCCCTGATCGTCCAGGTGACCTTCCAGATATCGGAGCTTAATGCCTTAGTTCTAAAACCTGCTCAGGCGTTGATCCCTCAATCTGGTTTAGCCCCACGTGGGTGAGATGTCTGGACTTGAATCGCCGGTTCACATGAGCATTTATGCAGCTGCTAGCGCGGATCTAGGAAATTTTATTTGCTTTTTCTTTGCAGGTCCGGTTCGTGCCAATTGAAAACAAAAGAAATCAGATAAAGCTTTCGGCCCTAGTGCGTTCTGCGTATATTCTACAGGAAATCACGGGGAATGCAAACATCAAGAGTGAAACGCAGGGGAGAGACAAACCTCCCTTCCCCGCTGACAAAATCAAAAAAGTTACAAGGTGTGTGTGTCGCTTTTAAAAATCAACACATTTACTCCTCATCCTCGGCCAGGATAGCCTTGCGGCGAGCCTCAACCTCCTCCTTCTCCTTCTTCTGCAGGAAGATCAAGGCGTTGATCTTGTCCTTAATACTGTGCTCAGTGGTCAAGGTCTGGGCAATCTGCTCGCGGCCAATCAGGGTAGCGACAATGGAGGCACCGACGACGAAGGTCAGCACAAAGCGGTACATGCCGTACCAGTGAGGAGCACGGCCGGTGGCAGCGGCGCGGGCGTCGTTGTAGTACAGGAAGGTGAAGGCAAGGAACTGGCTGATCAGAGCGTACTCAACGGGGAGCAGCAGAGTAGGCCAGGCCACAGCGGGGGCGATGACACCGGCAGCATAGCGCTTGTAGCCGAACTTGCCGCCGTAGCCGGCCCACTCAAGACCCCAGTGCACGGCACCAAGGAAGGAGAGAATCTACATATTCGAAGGTGATTAGCGGGAATCGTGTTCTGGATGGGGATATCTCAAGACCGAAGGAGGGTCAACTTACCACGGCACCGTAGCCGACCTGGATGGGCTCCAGCATGTGCAGCATCAGCTCAGCGCTCTGGCCGGAGAACATCAGACCCTCACCAGCAACGGCAGCACGGTTGATCTCGTAGGAGAGGGCAACGGTCTGCAAAGAGGTGGCCAGGTAAGGAATGACACCAGCCATACCCAGGTAGAGGGCCTCCTTGGGGACATCAGCCAAGCTGAAGGTGTCCTTGATGACTTTCTACAGAACACAATGGCTGGTTAGTTTTGCTTCCAAAGATCTGTACCCGTAGATAAGGACAATTGATGGGGGAAAACACATACAGCCTCGGACTTCATGCCCGCCATCATGTCGACCTCCTCGTCATCCTACCCAAAAAGTCCATTAGTCATTGTGTGCCTCGCATATCACATAGAGCCTTGTGGGCAGTCATACCTTAGCCGAGGAGGACGCGTAGCGGACCAGGGCAGTGGTGACGGGCTTGTGAGCAGTCAGAGAGAAGCTGGGCTTGGTAGTCGGGCGGATGGCACGGGCGGAGGAGGTCAGCTGAGCCTTGAAGATGTTGTTGCCAAGAGCGGAGCGAGCGACCGAGGCATTGGAGCTCGAGATAGCCCGGAGCGCAGAGCGGGCAGCGACGTTGCGGTACAGCATGGCGGGGATATAGAGCTTTTCGTGTGTAGTCGGGTTAGCAGTTTGCGCGGGAATAAAAAGCCTCGGGTAGGGCAACAGCGCCGGGATAACGCACCCAATTGGCCTTTGAAACAGCTGAAGAGGGGAGCGGGGAGTGGAGATGGGGGTATTCACCCGGAGAGGGACTCGAAAGCTAGGTCGGGGAGGCCGTGGGTTTCCGGATTGGGAGCAAATAAGAGTATCCAGAAATGAAGTGACCGAGTGGTGAGGTGTATTCGTGCGGGAGACCACAGACACCTAAACCGCACGAGCTTACTCCTGGCCTGAGGCACTGACAGGAAAAACCCGGGGATCCCGTGATAGTCAGGTGATCTTGTGTCCAACAGTTGCCCTAGCTGAGTAACCTCAAGCTAACTGCCAAGGTCAAAGTGCCAAGTGAACCGCACGGGTCTGATGTCACTCTGCCTGAAGTAAACATGCGTACTCTCCAGTACAGTGACAGTACGAGGGGTATCTTACGATATTCATTCTTATATTAGATCGGGATAATTCCAGAGGATTGGCATTGAATTTGAATGAATAGATTGATAAATAAATCTGTAGCAAGCATTATCTTAATCGATCGGTTCCCCATGACATAAACATGATGGTTCAAATATGGGGAACTCGGCAATGGACAAATGCGCGGGCGGAGAAGCTGTGAGTGTACCGCGTTGTTAGCCATTTCGTACGGTCGCTTGTTACATGATAGAGGCGATTTGATCCACGCAATCAGGGCAATTGGCTTGGCTTTGAATACCCAACTTTCCGGACCAGTTGCGATCTCGTTGGTCGCTACCATCTTATCTCCCTATTCCTCTTTCTTTCCCAAACCCTTCCCCACTACCCTGAACATCCTGGCACCCACTCTCTCGGAGCTGGCTGTTCCACCTCGGTATCGCGTGCTGCCGACTTACCTCACTTAGATGGCCCGGTGCCTGCATCCCTAGGGGAATCTATGAAGCTGGCTTTTTTTGAGCCGGTAAGAGACGAAAGCCCCCGCATACTCTCAAGCCACAGGAACCAGCACTGACGCTTCCCCTCAAAGCTAGGTCGATTACCATTGAACGCACGACCCACCTTGTACCAGCGACAGCGACCTTCTCGAAGACCCTAGAGCCCAAACCCCCACGGGCTTGGTCAACGACCATAAACCGCAACAATGTTGGAGGGTCTGGTTGCCAACCTGCTTAATCGCTTCCTGGGAATCTACGTCAAAAACTTCGACGCGACACAGCTCAACATTGGAATCTGGTCCGGCGATGTGAAACTACGCAACCTTGAGTTGCGCCGCGAAGCGCTTGACCAGCTTCACCTTCCTTTGAATGTTGTTGAAGGCCACCTGGGTCAACTCACACTATCCATTCCATGGTCAAATCTGAGGGGTAAACCGGTAAAGGTTGACATTGAAGATGTCTTTTTACTGGCGGCGCCCCAAGAAGATGCGGACTACGATGCGAAGGAGGAAGATAAAAGGGCGCATACCCTGAAGATGGAACGAATCGAAAGTGCCGAGATTCTCCGCGAGCGTAACGCTGAAGGCATGAGTCAGGAGGAACAACGTCGAAACCAGAGTTTCACCCAAAGTATGATCACGGCCGTGGTGGACAACCTACAAGTCTCGATTAAGAATGTGCACATCAGATACGAAGATTCCATTTCCTCTCCAGGTCATCCATTCGCCGTCGGCTTGACACTGAAGGAGCTCAGTGCCGTCAGTACCGACGCAGACTGGAATCCGACTTTTATTCAATCCACCTCCGACACGACACACAAGCTTGCGGTCCTTGGCGCACTGTCAGTATACTGGAATACAGATGCAACGCTTCTTGGAACTGGTCGCGGCTCTGATATTGGTGCAGAGGCACAGGGAATTGAACACGATGACCTCATGGACAAAATGCGCGACGCCATTGACAATGGTGAAGGCAATCAGTTCATGCTTCGCCCTGTTAGTGGGCGTGCTGGCCTCGAAATGGATAAGTCGGGTAAATATGACCGCCCTGCTATGAAAGCCCGTCTGCTCTTTGATGAGCTTGGTTTTGTCTTGGACGACAATCAGTACCGCGATGCCTTGATGCTGGTGGATCTCTTTCATTACTTCATCCGCCATCAGGAATACAAGCGATTCCAACCCAAAAGCTCGGTCAAGGAGGATCCGAAGGCCTGGATGAAGTTCGCTGGAAATGCAGTACTCAGCAAGATCCACGACCGCAATAGACGATGGACCTGGGACTACATCAGAGAGCGCAGAGACGATCGCATTGCATACATCAAGTTCTTTAAAAAGAAGAAGCGGGAAGAAGCATTCTCGCCAGAGGAGACTGCAGAGCTTGATAAACTGGAAAGGAAGCTCAGCTATGAGGATATCCGATTTTGGCGATCCCTCGCTCGAAACCAGCTGCGCAAAGAGAACGTTGGTGTCAAAAAGCCTGCTCAACAGCAGTCATGGGGTGAATGGTTCTGGGGCGCTAAGAAGGAAGAATCAGAAGAACCAGCCATGACTGAAGAGCAACGGCAAGAGCTATACAGTGCCATTGACTGGGACGAAAAGAAGGCCCTCGCCGAGAGTGTCGACGTGCCCCGTGAATGGGTCAAGCTGCAGGTCAATTGGAGTCTACGGGCTGGTAGCTTCACTCTCAAACAAGATCCTCATGGCGCAGCAAATGAGGTGATGAAGTTAGTGTTCGATAACTTCCGTGCCAAGGCTCTCCAACGCCCTGACTCCTATCTCCTGGATCTTGATCTTGGTGGCTTGAAGATGTATGACGGTACCACTCCTGGGACCCTTTACCCTCAGATTGTCAAGGTCAAGGACTCTTTTCCTGAGCCCACAAAAGACCAACCGAGCACAGATGATGATGATGATCTCGCTTCGGAGGCCAGTGCAGATGATTTGGTGGACGAAGATAGTTTGTTCCACCTGCAGTTAGAGAAGAACCCACTGGAAAGCGATGCCGACTCTGCGGTCAAAGTCAAGTTGAAGAGTATCGAAGTCATATACAACCCCCGATTTCTGGTGGGAATTGTTAAGTTTTTTGAGCCTCCTGAGCGACACATGGAGTCGATCGGTGCACTTTTGGACACTGCGGGAGCAACCGTTGAAGGTCTGCGACAGCAAACTCGCGCAGGCTTGGAGTTTGCTTTACAAGAGCACAAGAAGGTCGACGCTCAATTTGATGTCCACGCACCGTTGATTATTGTGCCCGAGAGTATCACACACGAAAGTTCTCTTTGTCTGATTCTTGATGCCGGTCACGCTAGTGTGAACAGTGAGTTGGTTGACCGACAAGCTATGCGAGAGCTCCAGTCCAAGCAAAAACACCAGTACGAAGAGGAGGATTACAAACGGCTAGAGCACTTGCTATATGATCGTTTCCTCATCAAGTTGGACTCGACCCAACTTCTGATCGGTCCTGGAATTGAAGCTACTAAAGCTCAGCTCACGTCTGATGTCGAGTCAAAGAACTTCCACATTGTTGATCGAATCAATGTGGACTTTGTTCTTGAAATGTGCATCGTTCCGAAGGTGACGCAGCTTACTCGGACGCGTATATCTGGAAATCTGCCAGAACTGCACGCCTCTATGTCAGACACCAAGTACAAAGGCTTGATGAAGTTGATTGATATTGCAATTCCACAATTCGACACCGGCAAGACCGACTCCGATCCAGCAGCGGCCAAAGCCATCGAAGACAAGGCCATTGCTACCAGAGCCCGATCCGCATCTTTTCAGCCTCCGACCCTCAGAGATCTACCGGTTGTTGACGATGAAGAAGCCGAATCGGAAAGTGACCACACGCGGAAGAGTGTGGACTCAACAAACAATATCCACCGCCGAGACTTTGAGTTCAAATTCAATGTTGGTCGATTGCGTGGCTCTCTGTTCCGTTCTGACTCTCAAGACCCCCTGAAGGATAAATTACTGGTAGAACTTGTCGCCGAGGGCTTCGAGCTCGACTTCTACATGCGTCCGTATGACATGGTTGCTGAGGTCATTCTAAAGTCTCTAAGCGTGGATGATTATATCGAAGAGAACCCTGTTCCCGAATTTAAGAGAATAATCTCGTCCAAGGGATTCAACGCAGATGAGGACAAGGATCTTTTTTACCTGAAAATGGTTAGGGTGAAGCCTGAGTCCCCAGAGTTTGATTCCACATACGAGGGCGTTGCGATGAATCTCGACATCTCGGTGTCGACCATCAACCTTGTGGTGACAAGGAAAACACTTCTCACTCTATTGGACTTCATCTTGCTCACGTTTACAAGCCCACAGCAGCCAGTCGATCAAAATTCTCAATCAGACAGTCTGGCCATTCAAGAGGCAGCCGATACCGCTCAACTCCCTCAGCAAGCTGGCAAGCTTCGCATCAAATCTAACCTCAAGAGTATTGCCCTCATCCTCAACAACGACGGTGTTCGATTAGCGACCCTGAGTCTCAACACTGCCGATGTTGGTATATTCCTCGTTGGCCGCTCTATGACTATTCAGTCTCGAATTGGTAGTTTGACTTTGGTTGACGATGTCAACTTGGGTGCACCCGAAGAATCAGATGTCCGACGACTCCTCACGATTGAAGGAGATAACTTCGCCGATTTCAAATATGAGACTTTTGACCCTGAGAGCGAGACTTACCCTGGCTATGACTCGGAGGTCTACCTGCGCTCAGGTTCAATCAAGATCAATTTTCTGGAAGAGCCCTACCGGAAGATCATCAACTTCCTGGTCAAGTTCGGCAAGATGCAAGCAATTTTCAATGCAGCTCGCCAAGCCGCGGCGAACCAAGCCAATCAGCTACAGGAGAACGCCTCGCGTATGCGGCTTGACATTGTGGTCAAGACTCCTATCTTGGTGTTCCCCCGAGTGATGGCGGATGATAGGCCCAGAGATACAGTCACTGCTCACCTTGGTGAAATCTATGTCAAGAACGAATTCGTTCCCATGGATGAGGGCAAAGATAGCCCAGCTGTTAATGTGATAT